ACAATCAAATATCAAAGTAAACCGATTAAAGATCAAACTAATGTATGTGAAAAAAGCAAGATGATATATATAGAGTTTTCAAAGCCATTTGTATTATCAAGGATCAAAAGCTTAAGAGTCAAAAGTCCAAGAATCCAACCCTTTTCCCAATTACAAAGGGGGTCTATTTATAGTGCTTTGGCTGACGTTGTGTTCGTTGGATCAAAATCACGTGGCATCATCTCATTGACTAAGACTTTACATCACTGTCTGTCACATAATAAATACATTGACAACAGGTCAACCGTTGTATATATTAGGCTGACACACTTGACATTATTGCAAACCGTTGCATCAATAATTCCTAAAGATTGACTACAGATCTTGTAAGAGACAGCTTCAACTTCATGAGCTTCGGGTGATCGAGGGCCTATGTTGGAGGAGGCTTTGTATTGGTCCTCCGTGTGAAGAGTTTCGACTTCTTCCCTTTCTTTATGTACCGCTTAGAACTTACGCACTACAGTCGTTTAGGTAGTGCTTCGACATAAGAGCTTCGGTCATTCATATGATTTCTTTACATTTGACAAATTAGGTATTTGTTGACTTTTCTGCCTACGCGGATTGCTATGTGAACATCAGTGGCGAGGCGTAACATTCAATATTAATATTAATTAAATCTTGTGCACTTTGAATTTGAAGATAGAGATGAGAAATGACAATTTGCTGTCTGTTGAACTCTTGATGACTTTGTTGTTGCAAAATCAAGTATATCGTGTCTAGAATTAATTTGAGGTGTCTCTTGTTTGTGAAACTTCAAGCTTTCTATTTTCCGTCTTTTAGAAAATTAGAAACTTTGGTACTTGAGTCTCATGAAAGGGACGGCAAAAATCCATTAAACTCAATATTCGAGGACAAAATTTCTCTGCCTAATCCGTGCACGTGGCGGGTACAGAGCGGAATACATGGTTCTCGCCCTATTTAAAATTTATTTAAAATTAAATTTTTTTATCATGCAAAAAGAACATAATTATCTTCTTTTCTAAATGGAGCGTGGATCGTTCTACAAATAAAAAAATAATAAGGATTTTCACTAACTAAATACGTGAAAAAAATAATAATAAATAAAACATAATGATAAATTGGCCAGGGACTTTTCTCGCCTCGCCTTGCCTTAACTTGGTATGAGAGTCAGGCAAGGTGACACAAATATTCGACGGCACGAGGGTAGGAATGGTTGCCTCGACTTGTCCTGTCCCGTTCCGTTACCATCCCTGGTAAATTTGACCAACAGTTTCTCTTTTTCTTTTTTCAAATAAAAGAACCAAATCGATGTGAACTAGTTGAGTTCAATTCTCCAATATGTTCGTGCGAAACCCCCAAGCGTACGAGATCGTTGACAAGTAGTAGAATTGATGAGTTTAAAGTTATTCACCCACAAAGAATAAATTCAATTCAAATTTACTACTTATGTATGAAATTCGAATTGTGTAAAGAAAATTGGGATTTTTATTTGATTTTATGCTAAATTATCTAAAAAGGCGGTAAAAAGTGTTTTGTATCAAATTATGGATGATTGTGTGGGATTTCGAATCATCCTATTGTTATCTATTTCAATTCTTGATTTGTAATCTAATTCTGTTCATACGTTCTTGACAATTGATAAAACTATAATATATAATTTTATTTTCCAAGACAAATTAAATCTATCATAACCATGATCTGAATTTATTCCTAACCCGAATTCGAATGATTAGAATGTATTAAAGTTAATTGCACACGTGATAAATATTAGGAATAACATTTATTGTACATATGTTAGTTTTGCAACATTCTAAACTTATAGTGAGTCTCTCAACGCTACAACAAGCAACTAATTAACATTCAATTCCTTGCTAGATATTGATATGATCTCTCAAAATATAGTAATTGACCCCTTGTTCTTGATGAATTTGTTGATAATATTTTGTATGAAGATGCAATAGAGGTTTTTTGCAATATATATCCCTCGTTCTCTATTTATAAGAGTAAAAAAATATGTTAAAATCACGTCCAATATAGGTTCAAAAAGAGTTTGAATCGCGAAAGGAAACTACTGATTCATCTGCAAAAATGGCCATGTACGTGCCATAGAGCCAAATGGCTCTCGGGTTGGAGAAAATAGGGTACCACATGCGCAAGTTCGCTTATGTTCTTCCCTGAGCATCTTTCAGTATTTTGATCATAATTTTCTTTACAGACATACAATTGAGGTGATTCAAAATATATTAGAACGATAATTCAAATGCTTACAATTCGTATAGAAGTATAATTTTTCCAATTCGAACGTTTGCTATTCGAAAAATGAATATCAAGTTGAGGCTAAAAATTCGGAGCATAACTTCTTCGGCTGGACATTGATTTGTGATAATATTTCTACTATATTTCACTTCTTTGACCTCTAATTGCATTGAATTGATCCTATATGATCTTCAATCATAGTTTTGTGGTCCAAATCAATTATCTAATATTTACACTTTGGTCCCCAAGCTTTGAATTTCCTTCGTTTTCACACGTTTTTCGTTCCTTTCTTCCAAATCTATCAATTTGCATTGAGTTCAACTTAACAAACATAATTAACATATAATTAAGTTATAACTCATCCAAATATTAACAAATATTTTAATTTAATTACCTAGAAACACAAGAAGCAACAGACACACGGGGTGGCATGACCACAACTTGGGACAATTTTTTTTTCCTTTTTAAATTTTCTATATTTTTTGTCAATTTTCGAAGTCGTTATAGGATGTCAAACAAAGTTGAAAAATTGCATTTTTAATATTATTTCAAAGTGCTCACGGTCTAATTTTCTACGCTATTAATAGCACACGAAACGACCAACCGTAGCAAATGTTACGGCTTGTCAAATTAGGTCGTTCAAAACTAGTATTTCAAAAATTTCGATAACCCTTATTTTAGAAATCCTCCAATGATCGTATGTTAGTCAAATTAACAAATCACTTATGTCATCTCGAAACTCGTTTCGAGAGTTATATCATAAGCATACCGAATGATCCAAACAAATATCGAAAATAGTTAAAAATGCATCAAACGTACGTCTTAAAAAGAAGAGTCTAACTCTCATTTTTTAAAAAAATTTAATAATNCCGTGTAAATTTTCGGATGTAAAATTACATAATATATAATTTTCTTTTTATGTAAATTTTTAAATGTAAATTATAACTTTTCAACAAGTTTGATTGTACTCCCTAATTAAAAACGTCTGCATCCACCCCCTAAGCACAAGTAATTGTCTAAATTGAAATATTTGTGGTTTTAATGCTTACTCCAATTGGATGGTCATGTACACGGTTTACAGGTAATTATGAATGTATTTTATTATTGTATTTTCATTTGATTGAAATAAATGTTACTATTTTGAGATATTTACTTTATTTATTGAAAACTACAAACAAATTTAATTAATGAAATCATTAAAATAATAACAAAGAATAATTTAATTTTTATTATTCAGTATAAGAAATTATTTGTTCAAGATTAAGAACTCTCAATTTTAGTATAAAAAATCAAGAATCGAACGGTATAGTTCGGTTCTTGATTATCTAGAGTTAGTGGTCTAGGTCTCAATTGAATTCTCTCATTAAGGACGTTAACTAGTGACTTATTGCGCTTTATAATGGAATATTATTTTTGCCCTTTGTCAAATTATTTCATCACTATTTAGATTACGAATATACACGCTTCCTTGACAGTTTAATTAATTATTTATTTATTCATCGAATCAAATTAAAATGTATTTTTATAAATTTAAGAACACTACAATTTGTAAACCTAAGGGTATCAATGGGTCGTGCAAAGCCCAGTTGGTCTAGCTTATGCACTTTTCAACTTCTTTTATTCATATTTTGAAAAATACGTAATGAGATAACACTCACGAGTCCACACTGCAAGTCGGCTGCGAAGTCCATGAGCTTTAAGGATTAAGCTCGGGTCTACTCGACTCAATTTGCCCAGGCAAAATCTAGACTCAAGCCACAAGTTCGCATAAAAAGCGAGTAGAACTGTCCATGAATTTGAACCATTACAAAGGCTTATCGAGTTGGCAAGCAGTTAGGGCCATGTCAACCTACTTAAGGATGGCAAAGAGGTAGGGCGAGGCTCTCTGTCCCCGCCAAGAAATTTATCTCCCCGTCCTTGCTCTGGCTCCCTCTTTTTTTTTTTCTGTAAATTCTAAAGTAATTTAGAACTAATGAACTTGGTAATAAATTCGAATTCGAGCTTACAAAGTTTCATTAATATTTGAATTTTTAAAAATAAAGTCACCCATATGGGGCGGAGTATTGTGGATCTCGAGTTCGGCAGCTCAAATTATACCACCCAAAAACAAAGAGTAATAACAAAATCAGTTGTGTTATATGTACACAATGATTTACATAATTATTTACATATATGTGATGTGGTGAGATATGATTGTGTTGGAATTTCTTCAACAAAATAAAAAGAATCTTGTTACATGTACAATCTTTGTTGACGACATTGGTTGATAACTACACATTTAGCATCATAAAATCCATCTATATTAAAAATTATTTTTCATATAAATGACCTAAATTTTGATAACACATGATTATCAACTATGTTTGTACAACTAGCGTTATTTGTAAAAGAAAAAAAATACACTTATCCACTTTTTTTTGATACATTATCTGTATGCAAATTATTATTGAACTCCATAATTATTCTAACAAAATATTATTGCAAACATTTATGAGTGGTAACTATACATCGTACACCTCCACACCTAAAATATCCACCCATCAAATCTCAACCGTCAACTCCCAATCCGTATGTCCCCCATCAAATCCAAACCCTTGATTCATTACAACTACACACATAAAAAATTTTCTCCCTCACAACCCAGGTCCGCCGTCTGCACGCGTACTCTCTCTAACCCCTCAATATTTTCACACGGAGAGTGAGAGAATCGCTCAACATATACATACATATACATATATTTATACATGGATTCAGATCAAGGAAAGCTTTTTATTGGAGGGATATCATGGGAGACAAATGAGGAAAAGCTCAAGGAGTATTTCCAAGGCTATGGTGAGGTTTTGCAGACTGTGGTGATGAGAGATAAGATCACTGGCAAACCCAGAGGATTTGGCTTTGTTGTATTTGCAGATCCAAACATTCTTGACAGGGTTCTTCAAGAGAGACATGTTATTGATGGCCGCACGGTGAGATAAATAATGTTTCGTCATTTTTGTGTATTTTGCTTTACATTTGGGGCTTCTTTTGAATTCATTATGGCATCTAGGTTTTTGTTGGCATGGCTGGTTTTGCTTGTATTTGTGTTGCTTTAGTCATTTAGGTATCTGGATATGTCTTATTTTCTTCTATTTTACTGGTTGGTCATTTAATTTTTTCCCTCTGTGCATTCATGGTTAGGGGTTTTGTTATTTTTTGTACGATTTCAAATAATTAGCTGGATATTATTTCTGTTGTGGTCTTCATTTGACATGTGGATATCTGATCTAGTCAAGTGATTTTTTATGAGATTTTTGAAGGCTATAATCTTTGCAATTCTAATATGGCACCTCAATCTCTGTTAGCTTTTGTAAAATGTTTTTAATGATTGCTGATATTATGAATATACCCCTTTTATTTTCTTGGAAAATTTGGCCTTAATTTAGGTCTCACACATATAAATCTTTTAATAATTGGTGGTCTGCTGTTTGCTATTGTTGTGTGATTTTTGCTAGCTAATAATGGGTATCCATGCTCGTTGCAATTATTTCTGGCTGTTGTGGGTGTTATCATGTTAATACTATGAGCCTGTTTGGTAACGATTAAAATTCAATTAAAATTGAAAATATAGTCGTTATTGGGTCCCACTCGTCTAATAAAAGTCAACAATAACGGCTAGTTTTTCAATTTTAATCCGATTTTAATCTCTACCGAACACGCCCTATGTACCTTTACATACAGAACGATACAGGGTTTTTGGTTTAAGCCTTGATATCAGTACTCGAGTTTTTCATCTTTCTGTCATATCAAATAGTAATCTTTCATTTTCTATGCCATCTTCATATAAATGGATATAGCCTATTCTCCTATCATTCTATATTGCGTTGTTTATGTTTGACCTTTAATGTTAGTCTTATTTACTTGTTTTGTAGATATAAACATCCCAAGCTTTTTCTTGTATGATCACGATGCTAATTGTCGTTTAGTTCACCATCAAAATCAGAATGGATTATCCTTGGAAATAGATTTGAAATGAAAAATACCCTAACACCATGGGGTGCAAAAAGAATTTTTCTTATTTTAAGTACATACAACTTTTTATTAATGATGAAAAAAACATAACGAGGAAAGAGAATAAGAACAATGAGGTAGATTAGAAAATACTTCCTCTCTGCAACTTCTTCCTATGCACTCACCACACATTCTTCTCGACCCATCCCAGTCCCATACCAACACTCGTTACTTTCACTCACCCATGCTAGATTTAGAAACCTATCATGGTAGAAGTTAACCCCATCTCCAAATCAATCTCCTAAGCATCAGCCTCTATGCACAGGTGGGTGCAGGCAAAGACGTGCACACATACAAAAATAGTGGTCATACAAGTGTGACCGTGCACATTTATAGAGTTAGAAGTTCAGAACTTGGAACTCAAGTAGCTTTGCAAATTCGCATCCTTGCACACAAATTCACCTTCATTATACATTGGGGTTAGTTGTTTGGACTACGGTTTCTTTTTCGGGGGTAGACTTGTTATTTAATCTCTGGTTGTGTAAGTATCGTTTTCTATTTGTTTCTAAGATGTCGAGTAGCATCAAACTGATTATTTTTTGGGCCATGACTTTCTGTTCTGTGTTCTTGTGTTTCTACTGGCTACCGGCACCCATGTTAGGTCCATGTCACAGATAGAAATAGCACTATTCTCTAACTGAATATGTTTGCCCTTTGAAATTTTTAAATTTCTCGCTTTATTGATAATTTAATGTAATATCTCTCCATGAGAAATTTATACCTGAATGTGATTTCGATTTCAATCCCATTTTACATTTATTTGAAATTTAGAATTATATTGTATGTTTGTCATTTTTTATCCTTAATCATGACCAGAAGACAGTTTTTGTCCTAAATCCTAATAGGTCGAGGCAAAGAGAGCCTTATCAAGAGAGGAACAACAAGTTTCAAAAGGTGGAAACCCTAATACTTCTAGAAACTTTGGAGGTGTTGGGAATACTAGGACCAAGAAGATATTTGTTGGGGGACTGCCACCACCTCTTTCTGAAGATGGATTTCGTGATTATTTTGAAGCTTATGGCACTGTAACTGATGTAGTGATAATGTATGACCAGCAGACAAACAGACCTCGTGGATTTGGGTTTATTTCATTTGATTCTGAGGATGCAGTAGATAGGGTATTGCACAAGACTTTTCATGAGCTAAATGGTAAGCAAGTGGAAGTCAAGCGTGCTCTTCCTAAAGATGCCAATCCTGGTGGGAGTGGCCGTTCCATGGGTGGTGGGACAGGTGGCGGCAGTGTTGGAGGTTATCAGGGATATGGTTCTTCTGTTGGAGATAGTCGAATGGATTCCTCCAGGTACATGCAATCTCAAAATGCTGGAGGTGGGTATCCACCTTATGGTCCATCTGGGTATAATACTTCTGGTTATGCGTATGGTCCTGGCAATAATGGCATGGGTTATGGCGGCTATGGAAATTATGGGAGTGCTGGATCAGGCTACGGAAATCCTAATGCTCCAAATGCCCAAAGAAGTTCATGGGGTTCACAGGCTCCCTCTGGATATGGAAATATGAGCTATGGAAATTCTCAATGGGGTAGCCCTAATCCTAGTGCTGGTGGTGGCCTTGTAAGTGGTGGGTTAACTACTGGTCAGTCATCAAGCGGAGCTCCTGGATATGGTAATCAAGGTTATGGTTATGGTGGATATGGTGGCAATGATGGAACTTATGGGAACCAAGCTGCTGCTTATGGAGCTGTCGGCGGGCGTACAGGAAGTGGCCCAAATGGTAGTACACCTCCAGGAGAGCTGCAAGCAGGTCCTGGGGGTTATGTGGGAGGTGGCTACAGTGATGCTGGTGGTAATTTCGGTTATGGTAACTCAGGCTGGCGATCTGACCCTTCACAAACTTCTGGTAACTATGGGCAACAATCAAATGGACCTCATGGTGGCCAAGCTGGGTATGGTGGTGGATATGGCAGTGCTCCAACTAGGCAGGCTCAGCAGCAGTGATTTTACTACTTGATTCCATCTATCCTTGTTTGGAGGTTTTTGCCATCAATGCTTTCCCATTTCAAGTGCAGGGTAGGTGGCTCTTGCAAGATGTCACTGGCATATTGGGGCTTGTTGGATTGCTTGAATACCAGTATTTTATCGTACTTATTTTGCTCAGTCTATAATAAGTAGTGCTTCTTGGGATCAGAGTTTACCTCACTTTCTATTTTCTTTTAAGTTTAGTTAATATTTCGGCTTGCTTATAGCTATTTTGATAGCTTCTCTGGAGTCTTTTCTTATCGTAATGTTTGAGATATAGCTTATGTAGAATTTTTATGTGAGTTAAGACGAGTTATTTGGTAATCTTATGGAGTTAGTTTTTAATTTCTGGCCGCCTTTAGCAGATTTTAGCTGAGATGGAAGCTTCTTGGTAATTACATGACAAGTAGTATTTCATCACTACTGCTACTACGAGGTTGCGTATAAATTGCGTTGCTGTTACTTTGCAATGAAGTTTCTTATTATAATGTTATTAAACAGAAAATTTTGTAAACTGACCTCTTATTGATAGGGAATCCAATCTTGGGTACTTCAATTTGTTATAGGTGGTGAAACTCTTGGTGTTAGTTGGACTTTTTCTGCTGGAGAGTATCCTATTTATCTATAGAAGTAGAGCTACTGCAATCTCGGGTAGATCAGTCTCGTAATGGGTAGCAATAATCTTAGTGGTAGTTAAAATTTTGACGATGTCATAATCATTTCCCCCTGTATTTGCCCTTGTGTTGTACAGGAGGAGAGATGCTCGAGAAGTAAGGTGGGTGAACTGAAGTGTCCACTCAAGCTAAACACAAGCTTCATGCAGGGTGTACGTGTTTAGCATGGAAATGGAACTTAAAAGTGGACCTGGCTTGGTTAATATGACGCATTACCCTGAAACTGGTGCTGAAGCAGCTTTCGAACTGGAATCTATTGATCTTCATCGAGGTTTTAGTACGATGAAGATTCATGGCAGACATGTTTGGTATGTAGATCTCAGAGAGCAGTTGGTTTAGTAATGACAACATGAACTGTCTGGTGATCTGTTAGCATTATAGAGTAGAGTTTAAAATTAGTTCTTAGATACTGTCCTAACTGGCTAAAAATCAATCTAATATCAATATGCAAGTTTCTTTTTTAGTCAAAGAACTAACTTTATTTTTTTTTGTTCATTTATGTTGTCGTTTGCTCTTCCTTTTTCCGAATAATAGTAATCTTCCTAATTCACTTAAAATTAGAATAATTTGCTCTGAATAGAATAGTTTCATTTGAAGTTCTACTGTTGTTTAGCACTACTAATTTTTGACATTCTAAATTGCGATGCAATATTTACTAGGTCTAATCTAACTGTACCTCATTCAAATAAGAATGTACTGTTTACAAGTAAACATCTTAGAGTTGGAAGTTTGATTATCCCTCCTTTAGTTTTGTTGGTTGGCACTGAGGATGAAATTGGCAGTACTCGTCAGTGTAGTCCTTAGAAATTTTGTAGTACCGTGTGGAGGATAGAAACTGTTAAAAGTGGATCAACTTGTTTCTGTGTTGGGTTTAAACTTGGAACAATATTTTGTCTGTTGATTGGTAAGGTGGTTGTACAGTAGATATCTTTATAGTTCTCTAGTTAGGAAACTGTTGTTAACGGGTTATTCAATCACTTGTATTTGAACCTGAACTTTGGGTTTAATTGAGAGTAGAAATGGTTCAGTCGGAGAGGAGTTGATCGGAAATGGTGTTGTCATTATTTGTATTTCTTTTGTCAAGAGCATGCTCTTGGTTTGTTACTCCCATTACATAATAGAAGTTTCTCGTCCGCATGATGATTTGAAGCAGGAAAATTATTTGGTATATTTGTATCCATATAGAGTAGTAGAAGCTTTATATTCTAAAATGTACATTCATGCAGCACTATTTCAATCTACTTTACCAAGGAAATGTAGATTTTCTTTCTTGGAATCAAAATAAAAATGAAGTGAAAACTATACAAATTAGGTGATTATACATCAATGTATTGCCGGGCACAACCAGCTTGCTTATTATTCACGTTGGCACTAATAACTCGTCATCCTCGTAAAGACAATTTCAAATTTCTTGAAAAATACGGTCGTATTCTCCTTCAAACCAATGAGAGTAAGGATTTTCACGTGGTTGCTTTAAATTTCTTTTGTTACGAGATTGGAAACACTTGAAATAAAAGACGAGAGAAGTATAATCTAGGAAAAATAATCATCCATACTTTCATCATATGTGAAACAATCAGTCAACGTGAACCAATGCAGCTATTTGTAACTAATGCATAATCTGTGTGATAGTCACTAAGAATTGCAACTTTCTGATGCTCCTAAAAGCATTCAAAATAATGAATTAGCCAATAATTGAGGAATATTTCTTGAGAAAATAGTGTTATTATGCAGAAGGCACACCGTTGTATGGATCACCAAATGCAGCAATATTGCCAGGTCGTGAGAAGACAATCTGTATTAAAATGTAAGAATTATTAAAGCATCGAGATTTTCAGCAATGAGAGGTTGGTCCAAGTGTATATTTAACATAAAACTTTGTCACGTCTTATATCAAATAAATGCAATAAAAAGAAAAGAAGGGGTAGATGGAAAGGGTCAATATTTTAGAGCTCGTTTGGCATGACATTGGAAAAGTCAAAAGGAGCTTTATCCAAATGTTGTTTTAGGACCTGTTTAACTAATTTTGTGAAAGTGTTTCTGGTAGTTAAAAGAGTTTTTAGAGAAAGTTGATCAAATGTGACTTCTTCTAAAAGAACTTCCTAAATAGAAAGTTTTTTTAAAAAGTAGTTTTCAAACAAAAATTAGCAGAGCTTTCACCAAAAAAATCTTTTATATGAAGCAAAAGCAAAAGTCACACCAAACGGTCCCTTATTCTCTCTTATAAATTTGGAAAGTTAGAATAGAGTTGTACCTGATAATTTCCTAGCGTGCAAGATTTAAATCCAGCAGCAGAGTAATCAAAATAATATTCCCATGTTCGAACGAACTTCTCATTGAATCCTAAAGAAAGGATTTGGCTGAAAGGGCACATATGTTAATGTCCAGTCGTATGTTATACTCCATACTGAACACATTCTTAGAGACACTATAAGCAAACTTCTTGTATGGTCATTGGTTGTTGTTAATACACACATCAAGCTATGATTATTTCTCACCTTTGCTTCTTGAGAAAGTTTTCCCTCCAACATCTGAGTGTTTGATAATAATGAATTCCAATGTCTTCGAGGTGCTGGACACTGCATTTGAAAACGTTTCCATTGAATTTTTACGTATTGTTTTAAGAAAGCATCGGGGAAAAAGGATCAAAGAATTTGATTTTACCAAAGTCTGGATGCAGCAGCCATGGCGGATGTTACGCGACTAAGCGAAGGTAAGCATCCACCCGGAAATATATATTCCTTGATAAAGTCTGAGCTCCGTCTGTACTCATCATATCTCTCATCCGGTATTGATATGAACTATGAAAAAATCAACCATTTTAAAATGTTAAGATACGTTAATTCACCTTATGAAAGGTTGCAAATTTCAAAGATTCCAGATCAACTATACCTTGAAGTCAAGTTTCCTAACGGAACTATAAAAGAATTTAATGCTTTGTAATTACAAGTCCTATTCTTTGAACAAGTAAAGTGAAGAACGATGTACTAAATGTGAAACATAAGAAAAGTAAATGCAGAAAACCCTAAAAACAAAATGTCCCATGTCAGTTATGCTGCATAAGTGAAAGAACGTTGAGATGGAAAAACATGTTACCCTACAGCAGAATGCTCATGACAAAAACAGTGAAAATCTTGGCAACTAAGCGCTAGAACTGGACTAGTTGCAGTACAAACCTGTAGAACGAGAAGACCGTCTTCTGCTAATACTGATTCACAGCAACGAAAAAAGTCCTCCATAAATTCATGGCCTACAGCTTCTAACATCTCACTGTGAATTTATCAACTGGATTATTAGCGTACATTGCATGCAGCAATTTGACAAAATATTTATTTTCTGCGGAAGAAGTTAAATTAATCTGACAAAAGGCTCACCATGATATAATTCTGTCATACTTGTCCATGTTAGGCAATTGGCGATAGTCACATAGATGGAAACTTATGCAGTCCTGAAATTAAGTTCACTAGTAGATAAGAAACTTGGAGAACCAGTTCAGTTAGTCACAACTGAAGTCGGATACTCAAAAGAAATAAGCATTCTCGTGTTCTCAAATATTCAAGATGCATGACAATACTTATTACCACACGAATGTAAAAATAAATATATATTTTTTACAAGACGGTCTTTTGGAACTACCACAAAAAGAACACATAGTATACCTGCAGGCCAGCTTCCTTCACTTTTAGTTCAGCATATTTAAGTTGCTGCTCTGACAGGGTGATCCCGGTATATCTGCATCCAGTTCGTTTGACAACTTCAATTGCTAAACTTCCCCAGCCACATCCAATCTCTAGAATATGATGGTTCTTACTAACTCTCGCCTGAAATTGAAAAATAAATAAATAAATAAATCGGTTTAAGCAATACATTATTTCAAAAACTGAAGTGATGTGGTATGAAGGCTTGCCTTTTCAATCAAAAGAGAAATTTTCCTCGTCTGCGCGACTTTCAAGTCTTCATTTTGAGTCTTGCAAGTAGATAAAATGGGAGTCATTATGACAGGGAAATATGGAAATGGTAGTTTATAACTGTAGTTCATGTGAAAGCTGATGGATCAAAAATTCAAATCCTAACCTTAAATATGGCACAAGAGTATGTCATTGTTTCATCCAGAAACAGAGAAAAGAGTTCATTACTCTGGAAACAACAGACAATAAAGTTTCAGCAACAAACAACAAAGTTTCAGCTATTTATCTCTAAATTTGACTGAAGTAACATCACAGAATATACAAATCAAGAAGTATATAATCAGAGACAAGCTTTCTTTTTTTGCTTCGTCCACCCAAGCAGAAATGAAAACAAGGACCTGATGCAAATAATCAGGGGAATTTTTTAAGAGATTCTCATAATCTTTGGTCCTGAAATGATAACTAAAAAATTGAAAAGTTCACTGCACATTGAACAAATTTCTTAGCATCTTCGTGCACATGTTATGAATACTCTATTTCACATCTCACCAACTGCATAGAAAAGATTTTATCTTAATGACAGCTTCATGAACTCGTCACAAAGAAACAAATTACTTACTAGATCATAATGACGGGAGATGTTCCGGCGAGCCTGTGTTACGGTGTTTTGTCTCGAAACATGGTGAAAGAAGTATTTTGCAGATGCTATTCCAGCAGTGAAGAGCAATGGTGTCCACCATCCCCTATAGGAATATAAGGTATATAATCTCAAGGAAAATTTGAGAAGACTTGATAGCACTTGTACAAGTGAACCCAACATTACCTTTTGTTGTTTGACATTGAGGCAGAAGTATTTAAATCTCTGTTGGCAATAAATATCTGCAAAACAGGAATTAGGATGGCTATTATTATAAAATGAAAAAACTGTTGACGATGAATTTGGATCAATTTTCTCACCCTAAAAAGATTGATAAGACCTTCATTTTTATCAACGAAAGAAAATTCCCCATTAATATAGGCATCAGCAAGGCCTAAATCAGCTTCAGTTGCAATCTGTGACAGGAATATTTAATGAGAACATGTTAATTAAGAACTCGTTTTAGTCAAAAGTAGTCCGTATTGTTTGCTCTAATAATATTCTAATCTGATGCCGTGTAAACATGGAAAATATCTATAACTATGAGATGGATACCAGGAGTACTACCTTCCAGTAAAACTGGGGATTATGAATTCTCAGAGAGACTTTCAAAAAACTCTTTCTGGTTCCTTCAAAGGTGAAAATCGTACCCCCTTCTTCAAGCAAACTGTTGCAAAGCAAATGTTATAATATATATACATATGTCGTTTTTGTTTGTGTTTGTATGCGTGTCCAGTGAACTTTTTTATGAATTTCAAGTTCATATTCCAAAAAAGAGTATCGACATTGAAGAACTGGTGCATATGGATTTTGGTCTGGGATGGGTAACTGAAAGCAAAGAGTAGGTTATGAGCACATGATGATCAGAGATGAAGCTTCTTGAGATATCAATACCATGGAGGTTAATAGAGATAACTCTCAACCAGGATTGTAAAGACCACATTTCCTTTAGACACATCAGGCAATGGTAGCCTAGTTAACATATAACAGGGCATATCATCAAGCATAACATGAGTTTAAAACACTTTTCCTTAAGACACATTAGGGAATGATAGACCAGCTAACATTTAAAGAGAACATCCATGAAACAGAATTTGAGTTTAAGAAAATATATAATAGTGCTCGAACTGCATGATGCATGGCATCACAAAAATATAATAGAAAACCCAGCATCTGAAGGGGTAAAAGGGGTCATGCATATACCACATTTCTGCATTCTTTCAATAATTTAAATGTGAAAAACCAATCAACAATAATTTATCATACTCACATTAAGCAGCCAGTAGAAATAAAACTCTGGAGAAACCTAGTAACGAGAAGACGTGCCCCTGTTTCTAGCCAGGAGGGTACCATGTGCTTTGGGTTGTTCTGAATAGTACAATTTTTCCTAAGTATGCAATGTGCTGCTAGAATACCTGCCTGTAAGGGTACAAAAATCAATTATTGTGCATTTAAAACCATCTCCATATCTATTATCTCCAGTCAAATGACACATGAAAAAACTTAACCAAAATTATTTCCAAAGGCGATCTCCATCAGCTTCTAAATTTTTTTAATTCAACACAGCCTTGATTTTTATTTTATTTTTTCTTCTTGCCTAATTTTTGTATTATTTCTCAACTTCTGTAAACAGTAAAATATGCAATGAAAGAGCAAATATGTCTGGGCATGAGAATACCTTTAGTCCATCCTCGTGGAAGCCATATCCTGAAAGAATGCAGTAAAGGGAAACGAGTATTTCAGCATATAATGAGGTATCCTGGAGTTCCGAAAATGATACTAAGGCTTTGTAAATGCACCTTGATATGCTCCACTGAACCATATTCTCCTTTTCCCTTGGATGAGATTCAACTCATGTGAAGCTTTTGATGCAGCAACTGATGGGATTGGGTGGCCAGTTGACCATTTAAGCAAGGTATGTTCAGGTGTGTGAGGTGGATTTAGAGTAACCAAAAAAGGCAGTCCCGTCTCACTAATGTTCTGCATGCTCAGAAAAGATTACAAAATGATAATTATGTCTCATTTTGTGAATCAAGCACTTCAAAACTTTTAAATGTGAATTCTGATCCCTTGTGAAGATTATAGAGGTCATCTGTCTACTGCAGTTTTGCGGTAGTGATGAATAAAGTTTCTATATTTGTAATTATTCATAAAGTGTTTGACAAATTTTGCTAACATCAGCCTCGATTTGAGCAGTTGAACTGATGTAGAAAAGATAGATATTCATGTATAATTTAAATGGAAGAAACCAATTTACAAACCTGGAGGATATTGAGCCAATAAGTCACACAAACTTTGTTATCAATGGTTCCAAGAAAATTCCATGCGCTCCATGCTGCTGGGTTTTGGGGCATTAAATTTTTGTCACGATGAAGAAAAATATCACTGCCATAAAGGGTTAAAGAATGATTGTGCATTGTAAGATTATAATGTGTGAAGTATCTATGATCATACACAGCAACATACCCCCCCCCCCCCCCCCCC